TGTAAGGAAATATCAACTCAGCTATGTAATTAACTAATTGGTTTATATCATAGCTGGGGAACAGATCAATGTTTTATATCACCAGTAAATAAATTCCTTTGGCTTTTGGACTATCCCCTTAAGGTATTAGAAATTGTGAGATATTCTTCACTATATTCTTACATTCAATTAAACTGGTATTGAATAATCAAAAAAAAAAATCAACAGGATTAGATATTTATGTTAGTTGCACCTCTAGGTTTTTATTTCCTTATCTGATGTGTGATGCACCCCTGAATTTCCAATTAGGGATGAATAAAGGCTTATGATTGTACTGTATTTTGTTTTATTAAGCTGAGTATGACATGTAAAGATACCAAATAAATGTAGTGGAGTAAAAAGTACAACATTTGCCTCCGAAATGCAGTGAAACAAAGTATGAAGTAGTAAAAGAAATACTTGTAGGCAACTTAAGCACAGTACTTGAGTAGATCTACTTTACTTTTTGTCAGTGTTTTTTCCCCATTGGATCTTAATAGAAAATCATTAACACTGAACTCAGAGGAGGATGTCTGCAGAGTGGTGTTAGCAGTAGAAATCAGCCATAAAATAGTGGAAATTCACACCTGGTCGCCCTCAGTAAACATCTGTCCAGGACACAGACTTTAGTGATCCAGGATGTTCTCTCTCACACACACACACACACAAAAAGAGAACTAGCTCTCTCCTTAATGACCAGCGTTGAAGCTACACACACACATCCTGTTCACACTCTGTTCGCTTAACAAAATCACTCCGAATATAAACTCACCTCTCCCGCTGGCTGCTTCGACAACATCTTGAAGAAAAGTCAAAGACAACAAAATATGCAGACATGAAAATAAAGCGATATTCACCCGAGACATTTGCATTATGGCCGGTCTTTTTTCACCCTCAGATAAGAGCAGTTGCTGATCGTTATCCGGCGACCCGGAAGTTCAACCGTCTCATTTCACAATAAGAGTCTGTGTTGTAAAAATATGAAATGCTGAAAGGGAAGGAATGATGGTCCGTGTACTTTTCGGTAATTGGATTTTCGTTTTGAATTGAGAAAACCAAAATCGTGTTCTTGTCTGCAGCTTCAAATAGTCAAGTTGAAATTTTGGACTAAGACCAGAAACCTGCATGAAAACAAACGTTTAAAAACAACCCCAGGAGAAGCGGACAAATTAATTATTCTTTACTTAAGTAAATGTAGAAATAAGAGAGTGTAAAATACTCTGTTACAATTAATAGTCCGAGTTAAAAGTAAAAGTACAAAGGTATTACCAACAAATTATATTTGAAATTATTAGCTTACAAATATAATTATTGGGACAATGTTTTTGTGCATCTAGTAACATTTAAATAATTTTAATAGCCTTTTATCCTCACAATTTGAATTACTTTACATTCTGAATTTTACTTTTGTATTTTGTATTATTAGCCTGATTCTGAAAGGTAATAACTTAACGTTATCAAATAAATGTGGTAGAGTGAAAAGTACCACGTTTGTCATTAAAATCTAGTGAAATGGAAGTGTGAAGTAGCAGAAAATGAATGTTCTCATGTAAAGCAGGCCACAGATAACTCAAAATTGTACTTAAGTACAATACTTGAGTAAATGTAGCCTACTTTGTTACTTTCCACCACAGCGTATTCAGATTTATTTGTTGCTGATCCGGAAATGTACCTGAAGGAACAAAGATATATTTAGGTATTATGTACTTACGTATTTAGCGTACTAAAGCCCATTTAAATATATTACAACGTATACCTTTCTTTCAATAATGAAACTTCCGGCTTTTTCCCTTACGGGTTGCCACAACGATGCGTCACACTGACGATTCGCATGTTGACATTTGGCACGTGCTTTACGCAGGATGCCCTTCTTGACTCGAAGTCGCAGCTGCGCCTAGCCACTAGTCTATTGGGGATACATTTGTTTCAATACATTCCTTCTAAATCAAATTCATGGTAGTTTTATAGTGAAAATTAGAAGCGGATATATTGCTCTCGACGTGATACGGTTTGAGCTGCTTTGGCTCGAAAACAGTCGGTCCCGTAATTCCTTATCAAAGGTAAAAAAAAACTGTTTTTGTGGTAATGTACGAACTGGTTTGTTTCACCATTTAATTTTGAGTTTACGTTAGTTGTCTGTCTAGTCAGTAAAAATCGGTTCGTTTGTCTAGTTTATTTAACCACCATGCTAATATTAGCATGATTACCCATCTAGTTCGCTACTTAGCAGCCTAACAAGCTACAGTTAGACGAAAATGTCATTTTAAAATGTGGCTTGCTATAGCCTGCTTGATCCCTTTTCAGTTTGTGTTGGCCGGTGTTTCATTGTAACTTCAGTATAGCTGTCATCTGTTAGCACTCTACTAGTAGCTCAATGTTAATGTGTGGAAATAAGGGTTATTGTAGCCTAAATGATGCTGTACCCACTTCATTTCAGCAAATAATCACACGTGCTCTCTTTAAACGGATCGTAGAAACTTGTATTATCTGCTCACGTGTGTAAAGCTTTTTATTAATAAACAGAATATCATGAACCAGGAGAAGCTCGCCAAAATTCAGGCACAAGTCCGGATAGGTGGAAAGGTACAGTCTACGTGTTGTCTGAATTTCTAATACAAGTTTAACAGTAGCTGTTGTGTGTTCATAGCATTTTATTTTGTAACTCAGTTCACTATTGAAGACCATGTGAAACTGTAAGAGGAACCTAGTAAGTGGATATTGAGTTACGATTGTTTGGTCAAGCTGTATCGCCAAGGTAAAGAATTACTTTTTTGTGCTGATTTAAGTTATTTTAGTTTGTATGTTTTTTATATTATAGATTGTATAATTGTGGATAAATTTGATGAAACACAACAGCAATTTTTTTACATTTTTTTTCTTAAACACCCCTATTAGGTAAATTCAGACATGACAATAATGCAGTAATTTTGACATATGCCAAGTGTTGAAATCTCAAGAAGGGGTTTTCAGGTTAGTCCTATTGTTCTCTCTATTTTTATTTATTTTAAGGAGGGTG